AGTTGTTACGTTAGCGGTCAAGCCTTCAATTTTTTACAATTCAACATTGAATTTTCAAAAAATATAGGCTTGACCGCTGATGGAAAGATAACTTCTATTCACCATGGGTAAGAGATCATTTCTAATAAGTTATAATTGTTAATTTTTTTATGAGGGAAGGGGAAAACAAGTCATTTACCATATTTTGAAATCCCTTGGATAATACAAAATTATGATCCCTATTTCTTTTAATTGATTCTTCTAACATTCTTTTGGCAAATTTTCTTGCTTCCTCTAATTCATACTCTCCTGGAAATGACAAATCTGAGGCTGTGTATACACTGTACATCACTGTAATGAACTGTTCATAGTTTTCTTCCATATGCTTCAAAATTTCTGCATGATTTAGAAACCAACAGAAGCTCCCTAAACACATACAAAATTTAAGTCAGTACACTATTTAAAAGCAATAAAATGTCTAAATTGAGCAACGATTTCGAAAGTCTACATGGATTTACTTCATATCCTTGCATACGGAAGAGCCGAAAAGACAACGAGTCCTTGTATAATTTTATGGGTGATAGAACGTTTGTTTTTCTTGGCTTTACCTTTTGCTTCTTTTGATCCCTGAATGGTGGAGGCCAACATTTTCATTTCAGTTAAACATATAATAGAATATAGAGCTTTATATAATTTTGATCTCTGTTTATTTTTCCTCTTCAGTAATTTCCATTTCCGACAAGAAGTTACAGGCGCCATGTATATTTTCTCGACGAATAGTTAATCAAGTTCTTGTTTACTTGTAATTAAGTTGTCTTTATCAAATGTCTATTATTGACCAAAAACATTAATGCATTTCCGGCTAAAACTCTCATTTTTTTTTTAACGAATAATGCTATGTATGCCCACTGGGATTATAATCTCAATCTAAGTGGCGTTAATGTGACATTAAATAATAGTCACATTTTATTTAACATATCATCTAACACCACCTAAACTGAGGTTGTAACCCTAGTGAAAATAAATAGCATTACTCTTTTTAGAAGGGTGTGGGTGAAATGGGTTGAGGTATAAAGTTGTAATCGTGTTTGTCAATTGAAGGGTAAAATTAAGAAGCAGATTTGTATATTTATAAACAATGCATTCCATTTAAATAATTCACGGCTTCTTCAATTTCAATGGTGTAACCATGCTTTTTAATTTTACCCATTAACTGACAAACACAATTACAACTTTACACCTCTACTAATTTCAGCGACACCTATTCATTTCGCTCCTATGAGTGGTAGTTTGAGATAGGGAACCTGCAAATTTTGGACGAAGAAAAGTAAAAAATGGTGGCCCTCGTTAAATTTCATTACATTACATTCCATTTTTCTCTCTTCTATTTTCAATCATATAATCTTTCATAAAATAATATTACACATAAATCAAAAAAAATTTCTTCTTTTTCAACTACTCATTTTTCAAAAAAATACTATTATACCCATTTTCTAGAAAAGAAAATGGGGGCCAAACAAGGGCTTGCGTGTAACATTGATACATTACTCTTCATGGGTCCTGCAAATCTTGAACGGAAAATGAGATTTTATGAGGAAAAAAAAACAAAAAGCTCAAATACATGCTTAATCACATTGTACGATTAAGCCGAACCATTAAAAAAATATAATATTACATTATAGAACTGGAGGATGTTTGGTGTAGATTAAAATTAAATTTTTAGTAGATTATGATAGAAGTTTTGAAATGTGTGGTTGAAAAGTTATGAGACTCATGAAAGATTTGTTTAATATTAATTGTTTGACTTTGATTTAGATTAAAATTATATTTTAATCTGTACCAAATGAGCTCCTGATCTCTTGTCCATAGTGCACATGACATATGTTGTCCACCGATGATGTAGTAACACGTGGGGACCCATGAAGAGTAATGTATCAATGTTAGACACATTTATTCCATTTTTGACTTTTCCTCACGGTGTTGCTACATCACCGGTATTTTAGGCCCTACCAGTGATGTGGCAACATGTGATTTCACTCCAAAGAATGGTACTTTGGGATAGGTTCCGGCAAATTTTGGATGAGGAAAAGTTAAAAATGGAATATAGGCATACGAGTAAAGACATGCATTACTCTTCATGAGTCCTGCAAATCTTGAATGGAAAATGAGATTTTTGGTACAAAAAAGGGAAAAAAGAAGAAGAAGAAGCTCAAATGCATGCTTAATCACATAATGGGATTAAGACAAATGATTACAAACAGTATAATATTGCATTATGGAACGGATCTCATGCCCATAGTACACAAGAGATATATGGTCCACATATGTTGCCATCACATTGGTATTTAAGACCCCACCAGTTATGTGACAATACCAAATGTTGTCACATTATCGATGGACAATATATTTTATGTCCATTACAAGTATGAGTTCCGTTATCTATTATATTAACATTCAAGCTTAGCCCCTTTAAGATAGTTATTATTTTGGGGAAAATAATATTTTGAATAATAATTTTTAGGGGAGTGTGTGGTTAAAAAGTAGGGAAAAATTTTGGGTTTACATACAATTTTTTTTTTTTTTGGGTGTAAATGTGTGGTTGAAAATGAATGTGTAGAAAAAAGATTTTTTAAATAATGTTTTCAAACATGGACTTAATTTAGTATGTTATCGGGAAAGTTTCCATTTTGTCGCTTTCAACTAACCTTCACTCATTTTAAAAGAAATTATGCCCCTATTTGATGGAATTAAAATCAGATTTTTAATAAATTTTGATAAAAGTTATGAAATGTGTATTGAAAAGTTGTAAATCTCATAAAATAAGTAGTTAAAATTTATTGTTAACTTTAACTTAAATTAACATCTGAATATCAAATAGGGGCACGTCGTTTTACAACCTCAAACTTTAGGAGACAACTTTTTCACTTCTTGATCCTATCCAGTATTTCTTAACCTACCATATCAAACACATTATTAAATTATTAGTTGTCTAACCTGTAAATTTTTGCGAGTATTTTCTCGATCTCTTCATTGAAATGCTCAGTCAACCCCAGTCTTTGCACACGATCAACCATGCAAAGCTTTATTAGTTCTTCGTCCACAGGATACTTTGCTGGTACTGTATACATTTGATTTATAGGTTAGTTCCATTCATATATCCCGAAGTACACAAATTAATTGGCGAATTAGCTCATGGTTGATCTTAGGAATTAAGTTCATTTTTGGCCCCCATTTTCTAAAATACATTTTCAACCAGACATTTCATGGGATTCAAAACTTTTATAAACTTTTCGACCACGAACTTCATCAATTTTTATCAAAAATTACTAAAAATATGAAATTTAGCTAAACCAAATGAGGGCTATATATATACACACGCACACGTGCACGTGTGCGTATCATACTGTCATACCTCCTCCATTAGGACAACTTTGTACGAGAGACTCGAGATATCTGATACATTGGATGTTTCCCGTGGCCATAAACGCAAAAGCCGTAGCAGAAGGTGACTGAAATAATGATCCATCATTGCTCAAATGCTTAACAATTTCCTGTTGATGGACATTACATGTGATTGGCAAGCTCTCCAGGTATGCCAACAGAGGAAGATCACAATACCTCGATTCATCCACAAGCTCTTCCCTGTAAATCCATATATGCACGTTAATTAAGCTTTTAGAGAGAAAAACCTTAATTATTAAGTTTTTAATTGCATGCATGCATTAAACTTATATTATCTTGGATAAGTTTGCTCAACACACTAGCAGATTGAGGATAAGAGGTGATCATGGGCGGCCGTAAGGGGGAAAAATGAAAATTCCTACGAAACTAGCACAGGCAGCCATCGGTGCTTGCCGGGTGCTGAATCTGCCGGTGGTTCTAGATAGGAATCATTAGGTGTATCTGGATGTCTCAAGTAGGTCGTCACCTATTTATCATCCTCGTTATTTACCCATCTCAATTTTAGAAATATTGAAGAGATTGAATAAATCGAAGTGGAAGCTGAATAAAAGATCAAGAGAACTACCCATCGGAAAAAATAAACGTGAAAAAATATCAAGAACAGATCACTACCAAGTAGGAGAGACGATCCTAGGATGTATATCACCACAAAAGTACATACATTTTAAGAATTTGTTGCCGATTTAAGAAAATGTCGATTATCACTTCTTCTGATCCCTGAGGAAAATCGAGCTCTAGACCAGCTGCCTGAGCAAGTACAATCATTGCCGGAAAAACAATGAAAAACCACCGAGGAAGATTCTGATAATTTATTTTCAGAAGTATCTCTACTTTGGAATGAACAAATATCAATCCTGGTAAACAAAAGAAACGTATTCAAATGAAATTAGTGAATATGCATGGAGTGACTCGCATGCATGTTCGTACATAATGAATGTATTGATGATATTTAGAAGATATACATGTAACTTTATCTAACAAATTTAAACTTTTATATTAGAATAATGATATTTATAACCCGTGGTGATAGTCACCATTCTAGGTTGGAGTGGAGATACTTGATTCATTGTTTCCATCACAGTTTCATTGAACAATGAATCATGGGCCCACTACTACCTAAATTGGTAATCATTACTCCAATTTTGAGGTCGGCAATTAAAGAATCATTGGTGTAAAATGGTTTGCAAGCGAGATGCGTGTGTTGTATTCTTTATAAAGTACCTCTTCTTATATTTTCTTGGCCTACATTCCAAGTTTTAAGGGCAACCATGCAGGCAAGAGTCGCAGGGAGAGTATCAATGGTTGGTAAACCATCTTCGTTTGTTTCGCCCCAAAACCCTTCTTCTTTCTGGTTTTCGAGTATCCAATTCAAGCAATTCTTGAACATGGGACAATTTTGTTTACTGGGATCGGCTGGAATCATGGCTAACCAAGCAGTATCATAGGCAGATGGGGAAACAAATGCATGGAGATTATCATTTGAGAAAATCTCCTTCTTGATTTCACTTACTAGAGATTGAATTGAGGGTTTCGACGGCTCCATGGAAACAAATTAAACAGATATTTTTGAAAACTATGTACGATGATAATTTATGAGCAATATCATGGAGGGTCTCAATTCTATTTATAGACTAGCTTTTCAAATGTTAAGACAAATGCCCAAAGTTACGTGAGAAGATTTATTCCCCGATTGGCCGGCTCTCTTTAATGTAAAACTCTTTATTTCTTATACTTATTTTCAATTACTTAGTTATACAATAAAATATTTTGCATGTAAAACTCAACACTTTTCTCTATATTTTAACCACACATTCTTCAAAAAATTATCATTCAAAACATCATTTTTCTCAAATTCTCTTTATAATGACAATAAAGGATGGGCTTAATCTTTCTTGCTTGCTTCCTTTTTTGAAAAATTCGTTTTTATTCTAAATTCAGTTTTTACTACACATTTTATGAGATCACAATTTTATCAAATTTTTAACCATTACATTTCATCAATTTTTATTAAATCTACTAATAATATGATTTTTAGCAAAATCAAACAGGGACTAATTATGAGAAGAATTAAGTGTAAGTTCTGGCGTTGATTAAATTATTAGAGCCGGTATTAATTTCAAAAAAGAATCCAAGTTCTAATTACCAAATCCTAGACAATAAGTTTGTCTTTATTAATACTATGATGTAGTAATAATAGAATTATTGTCAGTTAGATAGAGCTTATGCTTCTTATAGAATTACTATGCTCGTTTTCTCTAAAACTTTTTTAATCAAACGAAGTATATTTAAAAAATATTCAAATATGTTCAAAACAACTTTTTAATATCGTCTTTTGAATTTTCAAAAGTCATATCAACTGAGCACCGATGCGATTTTGAAGGGTCTGTCCTCTCTTGATTTTCAAAGAGGACAATACGACTTTCATTTGTATTTTTCCAAAATCAAAATCCAAAATGGAATTCTTATATTTGGCCTTTCAATTATTGTGAATACGTGGGAAACAAGAACATGTTACTTGCCTGCCCAATATTTTTGGACCCAGTTCACTTCACTACGAAAAAATAGCTGCATTCCATTTCATTTTTAAAAGCAATATATTTCAATATCTATTATATTTGACTGTATGGGTTATAAGTGTGTGCTAAAACTCAAGAAGCAAACAATTTTAAAGTCTTTCTACCCAAATTAAGATTACATAGAGGATGCTTTTGGATATATCAATGAGGAAAGAGGTGATTCGATGGACAGTTTGATATTGAAATATGGTGTGATGTTGGAATCATCAGACGCTATTTCAAACAGTGATCACTAGCCTATCAAACATCTAGCTAGGTGCATGATAACATGAAGCATGACTTGAGCCGATGAAAATTAGTATCCATTTTTTATTTTATGATTAGTTACAACTAAGCTTACTATTATGGAGGTCAAGTCCCCGTTCTAAGTTAAGGTAAATTAAGAAGATTTAAGTCCAAAAATTACAAGAGAGACACATTTATAATTCATGTTTGACTCGCAAGAAAGTGTACAGTATCGAAAAAGAATAGATGAAAAATGGGAATTTTCATTTTCCTTTAAGAGACAAGCATTTAATTCCCCGTCTCTCTCTCTCCGTCATTGTGGACAAAATATGCTCACTGAAAACTACACGTCTTTTATCTTTATTGCTGTACTTGTCTTCAAACTGTGAGAAAAACGTTGCGAAAAATAAAACATATATTGTTTCAGGTACATCCCCTTATCATCGCAAAACAATTCCTCTTGTACACGGAAATTGTTTTTCGGCTCCTTATAGATGTATGGTGCCCATTTTTGTGTTTTTTGACTAGGGTAAATGATTATTCTCCACGTGTTAACCTGTAAAAATTCTATGAAAAAAATTATGTACACCTAGCATTCACTACTAAAAAACAACTTTTCGCCTACGAAAAATTATCAACGGATTGCATCCGTTGGTGATTAAAAACGGATTATCCGTTGGTAAAAGTAATTCACTTTTTGCTACGATAATTAGCAACGGATTTTTCGTTGATAAAGATGATATCTTTTTACCAACCAATATTCCGTGCCTAATGTAATCGTTTAACATTTGGATCTTCCTCCAACGGATATTCCGTAGGTGATGTACTGAATATTACCAACGGATTGCATCCGTTGGAAATTAGAAACGGATTATCCGTTGGTAAAAGTAATTCACTTTTAGCTACAATAATCAGTAACGAATTTTTCGTTGGTAAAGATGATATCTCTTTACCAACGGATATTTCGTGTCTAATATAACCGCTTAACATTTTGATCTTTTACCTACAGATATTCCGTTGGTAATTAGAAACGAATTATCCATTAATCAAAATGATATTTCTTTACCAACAGATATTTCGTGCTTAATATAACCGTTTAACATTTTGATTTTTTAGCAACGGATATTCCGTTGGTAAAAATAATTTACTTACCCCACATCGGAAGTTTACAACATATTTTTGTAGTTACCCTCTATAAATTTGTGATCCAATAAGGAGTTAAACAATATTTTGGCCATTCAATTTAGTTGGCTAAAAATAAAAAAAATATTATAATTATTAAATAAATAATAATAATAATAATAACAACAACAACAACAATAAAAAATAAATAAATAACTTTTTTATCATACGATTATTTACAACATTGATTTTTACCAATTATAATGGTAGACATTTACCAATGGAAAGTTGGTTGGTATTGGTTAAGACTTTTACCAACAAAAATTTCGTTGGTAAAAGATTCACACTTTACCTACGGAAAATTTGTTGGTAAAATGTTTACTCTTTACTTACGGCATGATCCGTTAGTAACTATCAGTGACCCTCAAATTATCAACGGATTTGTGGTTGCAAATATTCCGTTGGTGAAGATTATTAGCAACGAATATTGAAAATTTAGGAACGGAAAATTCGTGTTTGAAACACTGTTTTTTAGTAGTGATTGCTCATCATTGAAATAGACAAGTACGAACATGAAAAGAATATTTATTTAGAAATGATTAATGTAGATTTTTGTTTATTTTTTATTTTTTAGAATGAGTGTTTTGTTAAGAGATTTTCTACATAATGTGTAGTTAAAAAGTAGAAAAAATTATGTATCCGCGTATAAAATTATTTTGTTGAAAGAACATATGGTTGAAAGTGAATTTGAAGAAAAATAAGGTTTAAAATTTCTGTATCAAGTAGGACTTAATGTGTAATTGATAAAAAAAAATAATAATAAAATAAAATTAAAAATTCTAAGTTCTTTTAATATCCACAGGTACTCTTCTTTGGATATATATTCATCAAAGGGTAATTAGCATATAATATCCATATTTTTTTACTATTATTGGACAAAGTGTTCATACCTTTCAATTTTTGACATTTTCACCTTTAATTACGCCATTGATTGTGCAAAATGTTCTTTCCGTCTAATTCCGTCCAACTAATCCGTTAAGTGAATTCGTGTAGTCAATTTTTATTTTAATTTTTTAATTTTTTAATTTTTTTAAGTGAAAGGCATTCTTGTCTTTCCATATTTTTTTTCCTTTATTTTTTCTCCCACAATCGTATTCCGATTGTGCATTTAAAATCTCAGCAAAACCAATTGTTCATTGCGCGAGGAGAGGGAAGGAGAGGAGAGGAGAGGAGTGTTATTATATTTAATCGATAGTGTATGGAGTGGAATCGGGTTCTCATATACCGTATTTGTGTTTTAGACATTGGATTCACACTTACCGTATTTGGCAATTGTTTACCGTATATGGTAGTGCAACTCACCGTATTTGACAGTGTGACTCACCGTATATGACAGCTTACTGTATTTGCAGGCGAAGCTCACCGTATTTGCACGAAGTGTTTTTATTCATACACTAACTAAAATAACACCAATTTTTTTTTTTTACTTATAAATAGAAATACCGTATATGTGAAATTTATTTTCACACATAACGAATTAGAAAAAATAGTTTATTTTATTTATCTGTTTCTAACATAAATTTCAAGTATGTTGCAAATTAAATAAATAAATCTGCAAAATTGCAAACTAAATAAATAGCAGATATAATTTCAACCTGAGGCCTGTATAAACACAATTTCCTTAAGACAAATTCGCCCCCTTACCGTGGTGCTAGAGGTTTAGTTCGAACGCCTGTCTCCCAGGATACAACGGTAATCAGTAGAATTCGAGCACCGCGATTTTACTCCGACGAACTGGGCGAGTGTTCGAACAATATCACTTTACTGGAATGAGACGAAACAAAACAGAAAAAAGGAATGGAAATTGCAGACGAAAATTTCAGTGTTTGAACTGCTGGAAATTGAGTGAATTATATAGACTGAATCTGACCCTCAGTTTTCTGCATTAACCATTGCAGTTTTTGGAGTTACATTTTGGTTTCGACCATTGGAGTTTTAGGAGTTTCAGATACTCAAAAGTCATTTGGAAAAAAAAAAAAAAA